AATACATCTTTAGAGAACCTAATTAAGCTTGCTAGCTTTAGGAGACATCATAACAAATTTAATAGAGAGAAATTTAATCACTAAACATCTTTAGAAAATGTGTATTATTCCTACAATTTTTTTGAGATTGGGGTGGATCTTCATACCATCTTCATAATCACTAAACATAAAAAAGAAAGAACAAAAAATGAATCTTTTAGGTTCTTTTTTGCTATTCATTTTTCCACTTTTCTCTCCTCCATTTCTTGCCATTGCTGACTCATCAAGAGACCTAAACCATTCACTTAGATCTCTATCTGCCTTCCTCTTCACTTCTCCGCCCCCCTCCAGCGGCGTTCCTTTTCACCTTTTCTCCACCTCCTGTGCAAAACTTCTTTAAATCTCTACCTTGGCGGCATTTCTCTTCCCCTCTCCGCCACCCCATGCGGCATTTCTCTACCTCTCTCCGCCACCTCCTACGCAAAGGTTCTTTAAATCTCCACCTCCGACGGCGTTTCTTTTCCCCTCTCTGCCACCTCATGCACAAATCTTCTTTAAATCTCAACCTTCGGTGGCGTTTCTCTTCTCCTTTCCGCCACCCCCGACGACATTTCTCTTCCCCTCTTCGCCACCTCGTGCACAAAGCTTCTTTAAATCTCCACCCCCGGCAGCATTTCTCTTCCCCTCTCCGCCACCTCCGCCGCTACCAATGGAGTGTTGTGAAGACTGTAGAAGATCAACCATGCCAAAGAAGATAAGCTGATTGTCGAGAGAGATGTTCGCAATAAGAGATGAACATTTTTAATTCAAGCCCTTTAATAATGTAACCGGAAATCTTATGATCACTACTTTTGTTTTGAAAATACGTTTATCATTATATAAATACAACTTTATTTCACGTATAAAAAGTATTCATAAATTTTAAAAAATAATATTAATATTTATAATTTATTGAACATATAAGAGAACTTTTAATTTTTTTTTTTTTTTTGTACAATTTCGATCAAATTAAAAGTTAAAAAATAAAACTAGAATTTTAAGTTCAAAATTCACTTTTATTTTATTTTATTGCAACACCTCCAACAACATAATGATCACTTATCCTGCAAGAAAAAGAAGGAAACAGAACAAAAGAACAGAAAGAAAAGAAAAGATAGTAAAATTTTCTATGAGAGAGAAAAAGGAAAATAGGACTTTATACAGGTTTGATCGGGAGAGAAGTTTATTAGATCTTTCATCCCTTTTACTCTATTTCAATTGTTTAGATTTTTACCATCATTTTAGAAAATCATGATCAACAATATTAAAATGGTAAAAAAAAACTATTAAAATTGGCTAAAGATAACTGGGAAGACCATTAAAAGCAGAGAAAAAAATGAAAAAAAAATCATTAAAATTGTTGAAAGATAATTACAAAAACAAATTAAAAGCAAAGAGAATAAAAAATGGAAGTCTTTTATTGTTGTAATGAAATTAACAATTTTTGTGTATACTGCCAAAACAACTTGCTTCTAAGAATGAGAATGATAGAGGATAAACCATGGAAAAATAATTGAATTTTGAAATATCATATGACTAGAAAGTAGAAAGTAGATAGTACTCTGACATAAAATAAATTCATCAAATTCTTTTATATGACAGTAGCTTATATCTTTTAGAAAAATGGTTAACTCTGTCTATAAACTTGTTACATGAAAGTTCGAACTTGAAACTGATGTCATGAGCACACATAGGTTAACTTGGATTTCAAAAGACGGAATCAAAATTTCATTAACGATATATTCATGACAACAACTTAAGTTAATCAGGTAAGTGGTCTTTCTATCGGCTCGGTCGGAAGACTTATCTTATGTATGACGACACGTGTCCAGTGGCCCTTGCACGTGTCATTTATGCTTTATGTTATTTGATGATGTGATGACGTTATATGATGAAGTGATGACGTTAAATGATGATGTGGTGAAGTTATATGATAATGTACATGATGTTGACATGATGATGATGCATAATAATAAGATGATGTGATGCATGATGATGAAATGACTTAATATAACGATGTTCCACATTAAGATGTTGTGCATGCGTTAAATGTCACAATGTATTATGACGACAAGTTTTCAAAGACACAACCCTAGTTAATGTTAATGATGATGAATATATGAATGTGAATGCATGCATGTTACTTAGAATAATAAGTGAATGGTGTATCGGGTTGTGTCTTAAAGATGATTTAAAGATGAAAATTATAGGGACCTCGTGCATTTTGTGTGTTCATATATATCGGGATACTTCTCCACTAATGATGATGAGTGGGGACGCGCACAGTATGATGATGAGGGTGTTCATGGGGAGCAATTGGCAATCAATGCTTGATTAACAATTGTCAATTGGTTGATTCTTTATTCTCTATTAACGCTTAATTAGCTGTAGTGACTAATATTTTACAAAAGCTAGCGTTAAGACAAGGTTCCATGACTAAAGCACCCGTCCAAGCTACTGTTGTAATGGCTCAAACAGCAGCTGAATCTTATGTATATTGTGGAGAAAAATACAGTTTTAATTAACATCCAAGTAATCTAACATCAATATTTTATGTGGTGATCAAGCTAATCAAGGCATATAAAAAAATAATCACTTCTCAAAAGACATATAATTCAGGGTGGAAAAACTATCAAAACTTATCATGAAAGAGACAAGTCTCATACAATCAACAAATGTCACCTAAACTAAATTACCCTCTAGATTTTGGTCTATAAAATCAAATGGCATATGGTCCTCAACAAGCCAACACCCAAGGAAAAGAATACTCTGTAGGAAAGGTGAGACTAAGGAAAACAACAACAGTCACTCCCAATAAACAGCTATACATAGTAGAGAAAGGAGGAAATTGTTGTATAGAAAGAGTAACAACAGTCACTCCCAATAAACAGCTATACATAGTAGAGAAAGGAGGAAATTGTTGTATAGAAAGAGTAGAGAAAAACTTATGCAGAAACTGCAGAACAGAAAGAGTAGAGAAAAAATTATGCAGGAATAGTGCAAAAATTATGCAGGAATAGTGCAGTCTCCTAAAACGCAAACAACATTCAACAGTAAATAAGAGAGCAGAATATACACATCACTATCTTCTTTTCCACAAAGAATAAAAAAGAATAAGGAAAAAGTCGGTTTCAAGAAGTTCATGGATATATTTAAGAAAATCACAAACCATTAGTGGAAGTCTTGAAATAAATGTTCAATTATGTCAAACTCTTAAAAAATATTCTCACCAATCGAAGAAATTTGAAGAATTCAAGGTGGTAGAGTTGAATGAAGAGCGTAGTACAATATTGCACAAAAAGGTCCCACTAAAGAAGAAAGATCCCGACTCATTTACAATTACAATATCAACTAAAGAAAAGAAGTAAGGTCGAGCATTATGTGATTTGGGATCAAGCATTAATCTAATGTCTATTGACCAAAAGTTAGGTATTGGAGAGAGCATTTTTGAAATGTGGGAGAACAATTGTAGATGTCCACAAGGGAACAATAGTGTTGAAAATGGATGTTCAACAAATAGAATTTAATATCAATGATAACATAAAATATCCAGCAGTAGTAGGATCGATCAACAATTTATAAATTGACAGAGAATTTAGTAGCAAATAGTTGAAAACAGCAACAAGAAGAAGACAACAGTTGGAATAATTGCACTAAACAAACAACAAGCAGAATTTGATGAACTCGTAAGATATGTTTAATCACTGAAATTATAGGAAAGAAAAAATTTATGAATGAAGTCATCTATTGAGAACATACCTTTGAACTACGTCTTAAAAGTAGAGCTATTTGATATATAGGGGATGAATTTTATAATATTATTTCTACCCACTGTGAAGTGAATGTTTGATTAATCCACCACACCTAAATGATGTGAAAGTTATCTTATTTATAATCAAATAAATTACAAGGATATGGAAATAGTAATAAAGGGAAATAACAGTAAATGAAAAGATACCTATGATTAGATATTTGCCTTATAATAAAATATCAAATATAATATATATGGTAAACTATAATTTATTACTAAATATCCTTAATACCCACAAAATTATTTCTTTGACAATAGATAACTGAAAACAAAATTGAGAAAAAGGGAGCTGATAACCGGTAACAAGCTCAAGGGAAACCTTAGTTTTTTTTAATTTTTTATTTATTTATGCACTTACATAGTTGCATTACTTTCCTTAGAATGATATATTTTTTTTCTTATCATTATTTTTACTGAACAACTTGCATGCCCCAATGAGAGGTAGTCAACTTTTGTATGAGAATTAATTGTACTTAAATGTGGTTAATTTAACCATATTAGGGAGCCCAATTGCTTTTAGTGCATATTAGGATGTGATCGATGACAAATCTTATTTTCGTGCAGTGCACGTTGCCACATAGTTTCTTGTTCATCTTCATTTGCATTTGGTCTTATTTTATTTAAAATCATGTACACCTTTTCATGCAACAACATGCAATGACACAAACACCAAAGAAGAAACAAACATTCATCCAAAAGCTACCATAAACACTAGAACAATAAAAATATTTTGAACAACTTTGGATAAAATTATGTATTTAAATTCATTTACTTTCCACCAAGTCCAATAAGAAAAATGATAGATGGAAGGTAAAATTAATTTAAAGTAGTTTTCCAATCAACACAAATATAGAAATTATGAGTTTCAAAAAAATTCATTTAAGAATACTTGAAATGAAAGCAATATGCTTTAAAATTACTTAAATACATATATAGTCTATGAACATTGAACGATAGAACTGTCACGACCTGATTTTTTAGGTTTCGAAAGACCAAATCGTGACTAAAAAGACGAAAATCGTGAAAACAAATAAAATTTAAAAGGTGATAAAATAGGAAATGAAAATCTCATAAAATTTAAAGAAAGAAAAAGGAGTCAACGACACAAAAATTAAATACAAAATTAAAGTCAAATATTACAAACGGAAAATACAATTATGAAAGAAAAATACAAGACTCTAAAAGACCGACAAGGAACTGACGCTTCGGAACGACTCCCCTCTGTGACAGTGCAGCTCTCGAACACCTCCCCACCTCGACTAGCACTTGGAAAAAAAAAAAAAGGGAAACGGGGTGAGTATAAAAATATACTCAGTAAGCAACCTACTTGTAGGCTCTTATTCATATCTAAGTTTAGGTGAGAACCACCAACTATACTCTATACCCTAGAGTCTCAGTACTCTCAGTACACAGCTCAGGGTGGAAGGACTTAACCTTTGAAGCGGTATTCAACATTTGAGGATGAGGTGCTCCCTCATAACTACATGTACCCCTCGTACAACCCAGCTAGAATTAATCACAACATGGTCAACGTCCTTCCACAGGACCCATCATGCAGGCGACCTTGACCCACTCGCATGATCAACATCTTACCATAAGATGGATCCCCTTGCAGAGTAGTCAATCTACCGTTGAGTAACACTTCCCTAACAGGCGTCTTGCCAAGCTCAACCGTACCACAACAGAGTAGGAAGGGAAGAGTAACACCTCTCTAACTGGCATCTCGCCTAGCTCAACGGTACTTGTAATAACCCAAAACTAAATAAAGAAATAAACCAATAATATTAATTATAAAAAAATGGTTAAAATAATAATAATAATAAATAAATAAACAAAAAAAACAACATTTCCACTACTTCTCTCCACTAACCTCTCATCCCTCCCCATATTTATCTCTCCTCAACCCATCCTTACGAGAAGCGAGAAAGTAACCAAAAAAAACGGAAAAAGAATAATAATCACGTATATATTAAATCTTCATTTTCTTTAATCCTATTTTTTTAGAAATCACAGCCCGAGATCTTGTTGAATTATTACAATAGTTTAATTTTGAGTTAGAAACTAAATGTCTATCATTTATATGAATTCTAGCCAATCACATCATTTATATAGAGAGAAAGTAAATACGGAGAAATAACTTAAATAGGTGTATCTACAACAGTAACTATGGAAAATAAGATTTTTAATAAAAATATAATTATAGACATATAACATTTCAAGACTTTTAACAATGGACCCATGTAAATTAAAGAAATAATTTTGTAGATTTCAAACTTGAAGCTAATGTCATGGGCTCACATAGGTTGACACGGATTTCAAAGGACTGAATCAAACTTTCATTAAAGATATATTTGTAACAACAACTTAAGCTAGGCAGGTAAGTGACCTTACTATCAGCATGGTTATATTTGATATTGACACGTGCCCCGTTGTTCTGCACGTGCCATATATATTGAAATGTGTAAATTGTCTGTGGATCAATATGCTTCTTATATGTTATAATATGTGAACTGTATGATAATAATTACGGTACGATGTGTTCAAGAATATGTTTGAGATAGGATACGAGATGGATGCACAAAACGAAATGTAACGATAGGAGTAAAATACGTTCATGAAGCGTTAAGGTTAGGTTACATACTGGAGTGATATGGATAAGAGAGATTGATGGAAGAATATGGTTAGGTTACGGGTAGAAAGGGATAGGTTTGTGATAGATTGATAGAACAATAATGTTAGGATTGATAGAACGATAACATTAGGTTACGTTCTTGTGATGATATGACTAAGGTACGTTCACGTAATGATATGTCTGTGATAGATATAAGAACGTTAAGGCTATGATAAGTTAGAAAATGATATGACTACGAAGTGTTTACATTATGACTTGTTTATGATATGATACATTGTGATGCAATATGTCATGGTATGATGTGTATATGATGAAATGTTATGTTAAAAGCATAGAACGTTATGTTAGGTCTCTTAAATTGTGTGTATACAGCATGATATGAATGACATGAAATTACGATAAATGACATGAAATATAACCCCGTTAGAATTATGTATGATTTGAAAACTGAAGAATGAAAAACGATATGATATGAATGATGAACGATATCTGGAACGATATCTGAAACGATATGAAAAATGATATGATATGTACATAATGCTAGCGGGGTTGTATTAAAGGATAATGAAAATGAAAAAGTATTGGGACCTCATGCATTATGTGTGCTCATGCATTTGGGGGATACCCCTATCCAATCACGAGGGTATGAACGCATACATATAATGGCAGGACAACGATTGTTATGCTTTGCATAGCGCTGCTGTGATAGTTACTAGTTCTAGCGGGTGTCCGGCCTAAAGGGCTCCTAGAATATCCCCACTGGATAACAAAAGTGGCCCAGCGGTGTGCGAACTAGCTGGTGAGCCCATACTCGTACATATGGGCTGTGTGTAGAGTATATGGTACACATCCAAAATTACCCGTTAGGACAACACCGTAGGAAGAACGGAATGAAAGATAGGTTCCATCATCTCATTACATGTGATTGTTGCATTTAACTTCAATAGTGGGGTCACTTACTGAATATTTCTTTAAATACTCAAGCCATGTGCTACTATATTTTTCAGGTTAAGGCAAGGCATTCCTGTACGGCTGACGACGGTATCACAACTCGAGACCATGACACATGCATAGGATAGTGGTATTTATTTTCTTAGACTTAGGCTAGAATAGGATGTTTTTAACTGAAACTCTTATTTATTTGATTTAGTCGTTTGTTGTGTCGTTTTAAAGATGTTTTCGAAACACGTAAGTCCATGACTGTGTTTTAAGATAAAGATTATGTTTTATGGAATTTAAATGAAGTCTTCCGCATTCAATGTTTATGGTACGTATACAGTAGCGACCTTAAATTAAGTAGAAAATTTTGGGTCGTTACAGTACCACACCGAAGTAGGAAGGAAAGAGTAACATCTCCCTAACTGGCGTCTCGCCTAGCTCAATAGTACCACAATGGAGTAGGAAGGGAAGTGGAGCATACTCGAACGCTATACCAGATACATTGTCACTCTCATTCCACTTTGCCTCGAGACCATTGAGATTGGACAAAATAGCAACTAGAGAGATCAACAAGAAGGCATAAACCATATTGACATCTTTAAGCAAACCCATTTTGTCCTCACACAAGTATTATAACTATGAAATCACAACTTTATATAATCTCTTGTGAACAACTAATTTAGAAATTTAGTAATAGCTGTTGTGTAAAATATATTTCCATCTTTAAACAATTTACTATTTATAATGATTGGAAACTAATTATGCCCGGTAAGAAATATATCTAATAATTTCCATCTATTTTATTTGAGGAAAACTTCACCCAACTTTAATATTAATTCTAGAATGAAAATATTTTCATCTAATTTAGAATCTTGTTAAAAATATTTCCATATAATTTTAAATCTGAAAGTGCAATGTTACCTTTATTTTGAGTCACTATTTGTGCTTTAGGAATCCTCCCAGATCAAGTTTTGACAAATTTAGATACTCAATTATATAATTTAAAGTTTGATTGTGTCCTTTGAAATCCAAGTCAACCTATGTGAGCTCATGACAAAAGTTTGTCCTTTGAAATCCAAGTCAACTTATGTAAACTTATGGTGTCAGTTTCAAATTCGTACTTCTGTAACATTATTACTCTTATTTACAAGGGTCCATGTATTATATTTTATGTGAAAATTAGAGTTTTGGTAGGAGTAAAGTTTTGGAATATTATTTATATATCTATATCATTCTATTTTTATTAACAATTTCATTTTCTATCATTACTAATGGTTGGTGTTACCGTTAAAAAAAATAGATAGAATTGTTTTAACATGCATGATACTTTCTTGTCTTTTGTAATTTTATTTTGTTTTATTCTTTAATTCTATTGTCTAAATGTTACATTTTTTTTTTCTTTCTCTTTGTATTTATTTTTTTGTTTAGTTTTAGTTTTTAAATCAATCTTTCTTTTTTTTTTTTCTGTATTTATCTTTCTGCATTTTGTTCCCACATTTTTTTTTTTTTTGCCTATTTTTATTAATCAATTCTTATTGCATCTAAATCTTTTTTTTACCAATTTATTCCCATATTTTTATTGGCCAAGCCAGTTTCGTTTAGATTCTGATAATTTCTAACTCAATCTAAATAATTGCAACAGAATTTGGAAAGATACAGAATTGCAATAGAATTAGGGAAGATACATAATTGGTGTGATTTCTAAGAACAAAATTAAAATAAAAGAGAGAAAAATTTTAATTTTATTCCCATTCCCTAATTTTGATAGAGAAGATACGTACAAGAAATTAGAAAAGATACATAATTACAATAAAATTAGGAAAGATCTAGGCTATAATTTCAAGAAGAAGATCTAAGCTATAATTGCTTACCTTTCTTAAAAATAGAATTAAAATAAAAATTTCCTAAAAAAATAAAATAAAATTTCCTAAAAATAGAAATAAAATAAAATAAAATTTTTAATTCTATTCCCATATTTTTGTTAATGGTTTTCTATTTTCTTCCTCTTGTTTCGAAATCTTCTTCTCTTTCCTTATTTATATATTTATTTTCTTCCTTAAACTCAAAATCCTAAAATTTGATAATTTGAATTAATAAAAAATAAATTAACTCCCCACTATTAATTATCTAAAATTTACTAATATAATAATTGTTAAAACTATTATTTATTTATATAAAATTCGGATGGTCTTTCATACGCACCAAATAAATAAATAAATAAAATAATAATTGAGAAATGTAGTAATAGCTGTCAGTAAATATATTTCCATCTTTAAAAAATTTACTATCTAATAATGATATGTTTGCAGCAAGGTAGCATATTGTAATCGTCAAAGTTCTTTTAGATAGCATATTGTAATCGTCAAAGTTCTTTTAGAGAAAATTGATAAATTAGGAAAAAAAACTTTCGGGATTCATGTTGTCTCACCAGACTTCAAATGACTTGGGCCATTAATGTGAGTTCGATGGATTCAACCGATGATGGTATTTGGAGAAGTTGTTGGGGATTGAAACGGGACGCTTCAACTTCCATGACATGGTATTTGGAGAAGTCGTAAGTGCACAATATGCCGAAGACCTTAATATGAAAGAAAAAAGGAAGCGCGAGCGTGAGATGCCCGAACATTGCATGAACTAGAACATTCTTTATATATTTTAAAATTGTCAAGTGACCCTAAATGGTACTTT